CAATATGCCAACCTCTGAGTCACACGCGTCACACAAAATCTTATCTTCGGCTTGCTACACACCACACACCTCCACTCTGACAGCTCAAGTCCGGAGGCTTGTTCAGCCCAGCCAGGGCTCCCGTCTGTCTTTCTGCCCCACCGTTCAGCTTGGCCAGTCCGGCAGTCACTCGCCGTCCCTGCTGGGCAGAGAGGAGGTGACATTTCCCCCTCTCTCTGAGCACACCTCAGAGTTCAGGGCGCCCGAGAATGCTGCCTATCCAACCACAGAACGAGTGTGTCCAGACCCTGACATTCCAGCTCAGGTGCACCCACAGGCTTTGGGAACCCCTTGGCTCAGCTTGGTAGTATTGGGCATGGAAGATAGCCAGGGCTCTCCTGGACTCAGGCAAGAAACCTCGGAATAACACCAGAGCCCAGTCTCCTGACAGGACTAAGTCCCAGCCAGCCACCACCACTTCCTCCAGGAAGCCCTCCAGGTGCCCCTCCCCGAAAGTCACTCCTTGTTCAGAGGCCACATTTTGGTCTAGTATGTAGAACTAGGTACTTTTAACAACAACAACAACAACAACAAAAATTTTGAACATTCTATTTGTGTGCATGCATTTGGAGTTCAAAGGACTTTTTTTTTTTTTGAACAGTGTATTTTTGTTAATTTATTTAATTTTATGTGCATTAGTGTGAAGGTGTCAGATCCCTTGGAACTGGGTGTTACAGGCAGTTGTGAGCTGCCATATGGGTACTAGGAATGGAACCCAGGTCCTTTGGAAGAGCAGGCAGTGCTCTTAACCACTGAGCCATCTCTCTAGCCCTGAAAAGACAGTTTTTGAGTCAGCTCTCTTTTGGCCTGTGGGTTCTGGGAAATGAAGTCACTCTCGGTGGCAAGGGCTTTTTACCCACCGAGCCATCTCACCAAGCCCAACACTACACATTTAACAGTAATCCACAAAACCAGTCTTTCTTCATATTCCTTCTTCTCCCCCTTCCCTTCCCATCCGTCCATCCGTCCATCCATCCATCCATCCATCCATCCATCCATCCATCCACCTATCTCTGTTTTGTTTGAGACAGTCTCACTCTAACTTCAGCTGCCCTTGAACCACCTTCCTGCCTCCCAGGTGCTTGGTTTACATGCAAGAACCACCACGCCCAGCTCCACTTCGAAGATTTCTATCTGAGGGCACGAAGGAGGCACCTCCTATCTGTCCTCCTGAACCTGGTACCACTGCTAACCACAGCTGAGTCAATGAGGGAAGCTGTACCTAGTAAGTTGTTATCAGCAGCAGGCACTATAGGGAGGATTTGCACACCAACTCCAACATTGAACACTGACCTGCCTGGGCAACAGTCATTGCTTCTCTCCCAAACACCACCCAGCTCAGAAGTTTAGAACTGCTTCTGAGGTTGAGGCAAGAGCTTGGGTTCAACTTGGAGGTTCTTTGTTTGTTGAGCCAAGGTCCCTCTGTATAGCCCTGGCTGTCCCGGAACTCACCCTGTAGACCAGGCTGGCCTCGAACTCCCAGAGATCTGCCTGCCTCTGCCTCCTGAGTGCTGGGACTAAAAGTGTGCACCACCGCCACCCTGCAACTCCTTAAACACTCCTGGGCATTTCCATTTCTCAGTTTCTACTTAGAATTATATTTGGCATTATTTTAAAGTCTTCGTAAGTACCAACTCAATCCTCAACCCCATAAAACACGCGTTCTTTTACACTTCGCTTTTTTTTCCCCTCAGAGGTTTCTTTTCCTATGTGAGGGTGTTTCGCCTGCAGGTACTAAGTGTGTATTGCCCATGGAGGCCACAGCAGCCTGTCCGATCCCTTGGAGCTGGGATCACAGTCTTGTGAGCTGCCGCTGGGTGCTGGGAACGAAATCAAACTCCTCTGAAAGAATAACAATTGCTCTTTACCATGGGACCATCATCCATCTCTCCAGCCCCCTACACCTCAGCTTTAATAATTGAGACAGGTGGTCAGAGAGGAGTCATTTGCTCCAGTACCATGTGTGCCAGGAAAGCGTGTGGTCGGAGAGTCAAGAGACTTGCTCTAAGCTACAGACCTAGGAAACAGGCAGGCAAGAATTAGTTAATAATGGCACGGGGGTCTTCCAGTCGCTGAGGCTGGCAACAAGCTCCTGGACACAAACAGCGTCAGCCTCTGCGGCTCTGACTGAAGGCATGTACTACCATCCCTGGTTCAAGAAAAACTCTCTCTCGTTCATGCAGGATGTATGTAACATACAGACCTGAATTTGGGCTTTTAAAAACCAGTGGCCTTCACTTTGTCTTGTGATCCAGCACATATTCACTGACAAACTCTACTTCCTGAGATTTAAAATGATGCTCTTTAACACACTCAACTATTTACACACAGTGAATAAAAAGCAAAGGTATGCAGAGTTATCTCAAAGAGACAAACAGCCACCCAACCAGCCAAACCAGGCGTCAGCTCAATAAATGTATTAATCTGGAAAACCATGCCCGTGGCCCCGTCTGAGCTCAAGAGGAGCCTGTGCACCAGGAAGGAAGGACTCCTGTTCAAGCTACCATGGGCCAAGCCCAGCGACTACATTAATGGGAAAGTGATGTTCAGGACGGAAGGCTCATGGAATCTGGGCTGGACTTCAACTCCTTACAGAGCCAAAGATGACCTTTGACTTCTGATCCTCCTGCCTGTGTCCCTGGCACTGGGATCACAGGTGTGCAATCCCGCGCAGTTACCGGGTGCTGGGGATGGAGCCCAGGGTGTCACGCGTTCTGGGCATGCTGAGCTACATCCTCATTCCCTCTACTTTCCTAGTTTTGTTTTTTTTTTTTTTTTTTTTCATAGCTTCATCTTACTGGTTACTTTTCATTGTAGTCAGATTTTGTTTCTTTAAAAACACAAAAAAATTATGGGAATATGTTTTTGTTTTAATCCTAGGTGTAGGATACGGGGCTGCTTCTGTCCACAGCAGCTATGATTTGCCTCATGCTCCAGCAGGGTCGTGATTTCATCAGCTCCGGACAGTTGACATTTGCAATTCTGAGGACTCTTGAGAGGGTGTTTAAACACCAGAGCCCAAGAGAGGTGTGACTGTTGTTTGTGTTGGTGGCTGTTTGGAGGTATCTTGACAAGGATCAAATTTGCCCCAAGGAACTCAACACCCCTAATTAGGAGGAAGTAGTCTAACAATATTGACGGGCTCTTTTCCCTTTAACTTTCTTCCTCTCCTACCTAGTTTTGGAGTGTTGGAAGGGATAGGAGTAGTATAGGGAGGTAGAAAAAATAACGCAATAAAGTAGCCAGAAGTCCAGCTACATTTAATTTTTGTTTGACCTATTGCTTCAATCTTGTAACCCAGGCAGGCCTTTGGTTCCCAGAACTTTTCTATGTGAGCCTCCAGAATGCCAGTCTTATTAGGCACAGACCAGCACCTGGCTTAAACTTGTATTTCTTCAATAAAAGGCAAGACTGGCCCTTTTTGCCATGTATTTATGGGTTAACATTAATAATTAACAACTGAGTTCTCATCTGTCGGCAACTCATGTAACTTAAACAAGAGTATTAATTGGACAATGCTCTTATTCAAGATTTATTTTTAATTATGTTCATATCTGTGTACATGAGTATGAATGCCTGAGAAGGCCAGAAAAGGGCACCGGATCCCTGGTAATGGAATTACAGGCAGTTGTGAGCCATCAGTGTGGGTGCTGGGAACTGAACTCTAGTCATCTTCCACAGCAACAAACTCCCAGGCTGAGGGAGTCAGTGTTTTCTTCCTTCCTTCCTTCCTTCCTTCCTTCCTTCCTTCCTTCCTTCCTTCCTTCCTTCCTTCCTTCCTTCCTTCCTTCCTTCCTTCTTCTTTCTTGACAGTCTGCCTATGAAGACCCTCAAGAGATCCACCTGCCCCAGCCTTTTCAGTGCTGGGGTTAAGGGTGTGCACCACACTGGGCTCTGAAGGAGGTTTTAATATGTTAGGTGCAATGTAGAAGGCTTACGCCATCAAGAGTGACTGCACAGATTACCTCCGTTACGAGTAGCGAGTAGCAGTTAACCTCTAGAGCCAGTTTCTTGGGTTCTTACTTGGATATTTCTGAACAATGAGACGCCTGTATTTTCAGAGTTATGGTTGTGGGGACCGAGTGGACTGGTATTTACAACTTTAAAAATGTTACCTGTTATTATCATTTATCACGCCCTGCTTCTGCCATCTTCTGTAAACACCCTTCACACAGAATGAAGTAAGGTGTGCAAGCTGCATGCAGGATCATGTTGGGATTAAGCAATCAGCTGTGTAAGCTGAAGCACTCTGCTGTAACTTTCTGAGTACCAGGTTCTCCATTTCAAAAATGGAAGAAGGCCTATCTCCACTTAGTCCTACTATGACAACTGACAAGAAGCAAAGGCACAGACACAAAATGCTTGGCACAGGGCTTCCATATACCACAGCCTAATGGGAGGCTGAGAGAAGAGCTCAGGGGCAAAGCGCTGGGCTGGCATGCACACAGCTCTGGAGTGGTGATGGTGAGTTTATTTTCTTAAAATAACCAATATGAAAAAGGTGTCAAGCTGGCCGGGACATTACATGCCTATAACCCCAACTTCTCAGGAAGATGAGGCAGAAGGGCTGAGCTGGAGTTTAGCCTGACCTAGCAAGACCTGCAACCTAACAAAAGAAGATGGCCAAAGTCAAACTACCAAAGTCATGAACAAGGAAGTGAAGTTCCGGGACTCACAGCCTAAAGAACTTTCTTTTTTTGTCAGACTTAGAACTTGCTACATAGACTAGGCTGGGCCTCAAGGACCCATTTGCTTTGCCTCCTGGGTTAAAGGCGTGCACAACCTTGTCCGCTTACAGAATTTTCTCAAAGTTATATTCTTAAAACAGCAGAAAAAAGGACTTGAGGATGGAGTGCCCTAAGAATCCAAGGCAAGAGACACAGCCACACATTTCAGGCTCTATTTCTATGCAGATACATTTCCTAACTTCCTTTCACAAAAGAGAACAAAACAACAAAAAGTGATAGTCAACATTTATTTATTCATACAGTATTGCCGGAAACACTTTGCACAGGACAGTGTATGCTGACTGCGACTTATCTCCTCATTTGCACCATCAAGAAGATGCAAGCTTCAATGCAAAGGATAGCTAGTACACGTTTTATTTCTTAGAGTTTATTATCTCATAATTACAACTGCAATTTATAAGTCTGAAACATGAGAAAAATTCTATGACGAGAGCTCAAATAAAGCTGAACAAGTGAGGAAAAGATGGTTAAAACTCTGTCTTTGTTTCAAGCGCAGGCTTTGGAGCCAGGGTCAACACCATAAAACATCACAAATGACTCTTAAGACATTTGCTCTATACAGTCAAGCATGGAGCTACAGCTATGTTTATATGATCTATACACACTTTAGTATGCTATTGGCCCACAGAGCACACACGTCTTTATGAGCCAGCTAAGTGCACTGAAGATTAGGAACACTTACTATACACCAAAAGTTAACATTTATAAGTTATACATATTTAATATTTCCAGAGTGTTTTTAATTAAACATTTTTAAAGCATTTTAAACATTTTTCACTTTTCTCAGTGCAAAAGAAGGTTATTCAAGTCAACTTACCTTTCTCCTGAGGAGTCAGAGGAGGGAACAAACAGAAAACTCTGCCCATCACAGCCCAACACAACCTTCCTGTCACCCTTTGCAGCACACACTGAGGCCACTGGATTAGTTGCCACAACTAAAGCCTTGTGATTATGACTCAGCCCTTACTTCATATTTATGACTTTTATGTTGAAATACTGATTTACAAAAGTAGAAAAAGTTAGCAGTGCAACAAAGCGGCTTAAGTTCGTTTTCAATTCCAGCCAAAAAAGAGCACCATTTCAAGATGGACTGACGGGACACTGGGGGATGTACACAGGCCGGCAGCAAGTTACTCTGGCCAACACGGTTCAATACCACCTTAACTCGGTGAGAGTTTTAAATAGTTTGTAGGTGCATTTTTCTTTACCTTGGCACTGAACACACTCCATCAGTAACTAAAATCAAATCCAGCTGGCTGTCAGGCCAGGCTAGGACAAGATGGGCTCTGATAACAAGGAGGGCTTTGATCATTTGGCAAGTCTGCTTCTTCTTCTCTCAATTTAAAAGCTAGGAATTGTTTTGGGGGGGGAGGATGGAGTAGCTTGTCAATTTCATAGGTGGAAAAAAGCAAGCAAATAAAGTAATTTAAACTACAAAGATGGACAAGAAACAATAGCATTGAACAAAAGTTACTTCTTCCATTTGTATCACTGTAAATAGCTGGGCCCCCACTAAAGAAACAAAACGCATAACGAAGACCAAAGTACCTTCTTTGACTTCTAGCTTCCTAGACCTTCCTAGACCTCAGGATTCTTACCAACCAAGGCCAGTGCAGCTGCAAAGGTAGAAGGTGCAGGCCAAGTGTTTGCTTACTTTAACTGATAGGTTGTATTTTAAGCTACAAGTTTTCCTCACTAGCTGTAAGAGGTTGGTTGGTTTGTTTTTAACTAGGAAACGTGGTGAGGTATCTGTTAATCTTACAATTCTTTAAGTCCAGAGAAAGTTATTTTAAAAACATCTTTCACATACCAGGTTGTAATGCTTTTATTTAGGAAATTTCTTGAGCCTGGAGCAATAATAGTTTAAGTTAATTCATTTAGTTTTCAATAGTGGAGTTGATCCTATGCAGAGTACCTTCCCCTGTCTCTAACAAATTAATTCTATTTTCTCCAGAAGTACAGATAATGTACTTTAAATTGGCTGATTTGTACCGATCAAAAGAAACAGGGTGCTCCTTCCTTTCCCTCCTCAGCTCAGGGAGAATACCTGCACTTTCAAGACTCCAGTCGCTATCACAGTAAGTACAGAACCAGGGCAGGACAGCGAGAAACTACATCCGCTAGGTCTCAGGCGGCAGAGCTTAGTGCGCTAGCTTCACAGGGAACAGTACAAGCAGGCAAGAGTTCACTGTAAATGCACACCAGAACAGGGGTCTAGGTGAAGCGGTCTAATTAGGGTACTGCTTTTGGAAGAAAAAAATAAAAGGTACATTTGAAATAGCTTTTTCCTCCCCAAAAAAACAAAACAACAACAACAAAAAACTAGACTTTTGTCACATTTATAGGAATCTCAAACCTTTTGTATCCCATGCTCCTAGGTAGTTTGATGACATGGTAAATAGCTTCAGGGTTCAAGAAGAAGAGCACTGTACTGCTGACAAAGACAAATAACTCTTCATGCTTCTGAGATTTCTGATTTGCTAAGTGCAATGGCCAGTTCCAAGTCTTCTTGTTCCTGCTGATTTAGTCTGGCAAGCCTCTGTTCTTCTTCTCTCTCACTTTCTCTCTTTGCCCACTCAATCATGTCTTCTTCAGAGGGATACTGCCATTTAAAAAACCAAAAAAAAAAAAAAAAAGAATAAGAAAAATAAACAAAGACATAAAAAAACGTTTTATAAAAGATCATTAACTACTTGCTTTACCCAAAGAACTCTGCCTCTGTGAATACTGTTACTTCCTTATTGTTTTTTTTGAAAATATATTTTAACTACTTATTGAGCTCTGATTTACTTTAAAATTTTAATGCACTCTATGGGGAAGGAAAGTCTATAAATACAATAAAACCTATAAAGTAAAGACATTAAAATCATCACTTTAAAAAACAGCAGTTACAGGCCTGGTGGCACACGGGAGACTGAGGCAGGAGGACTGCAAATCAGAAGCCAATCTAGGACACATAGTGATATTCTGTCTCAAAACAGACAGATGCTTAGGACAGAATAGTAAATTTAAAAATAGGAGTGGTCTAGTCTTCCAATCCGATATAAAATATTTGCTTTTTAAACTATAGTGATCACTTAGCACATACAGTAATTTTTTTCTTCTTTTTCCTTCCTTCCTTTTAAAGAGTCTGTCCTTTTAAAGACAGATTCTCACTAGGTGAATCAAGTTTGTCTCAAACTCATGATCCTCCTTGACTGTGTCCTGGGTTGCGGGATTACAACCACCTGGCAGCATTTCTGACCATTGACTCATTAAAATTAATGCCACTGGCAACAGAAAGCAGCCTTACCTGGCTCTTTCAGGAAACCCCAAAACTATAAAGCAAAAACAGGCAAATTTTGCTAAATATAAGAGCATTAGATATAGTATGTGAACCAAATCATTAAAACAAAAACACTGAAGATTGATAGTTTTTAGAAACTTTTAACTCAGTTTTACATAACTAAAATGATTCAGTTTTAAGTAAAGCCTTAATACTAATGATTAGATTGGAAAAAATATTTGTAACTACAACGAAACTTCAACTTTAATAGAAACCAGATACAAAATTCTACCTGGTTTCAGCCTCGTCTCACGAGGAGACCCATCAAAAAGAGAGAAACACACTGGAAGACTGGGCAGTGCACCTTGACTCTTGGTGTGCTTACCAAGCCTCTCCACTGAAAACAGAGCTTACTATGAGCTGCTTTATGCTGCACTGTGAGAGATTCTCAAGTATGAAACAAGCAAATGGCCCCCACCATTGTTCAAGACTCATTCCAACCAGGTTTTGTCTTACAGAACCATATTTAACACACTGACTACCACAAACTGCCAGACTGTTATTTACACTGAGAACGACAGTCTCCTAAGAAAGCTATTTTTCCACTCTTCTCTGTTTGAAACAACTCAAATTCCACCTGTCACGGCATGTAAACATAATTCTGAGTTGCCATTTCTTTTTCGTATTAAAAACAGGGATCTCTGTGTCATTCCTTTATACTCACGTGATGCCCCTGGAGTCTAACGGCACAAACTCAAAAGGTGGGCACTGCGACTATCTTGGCTGCATGCAGACTCTTGCCCAACTCTTGTCTAAGATTTAATTTATTTATTATATATACAGTGTTCTGCCTGCATGTGCGCCTGCACGCCAGAAAAGGGCACCAGATCTCACTATAGATGGTTGTAAGCCACCATGTGGGTGCTGGTAACTGAACTCACAACCTCTGGGAGAGCAGACAGTGCTCTTAACCTCTGAGCCATTTCTCCAACTCCTGCCCAATTCTTTTCTAAGTAGACAGAGCAGTAACAAGGATAAAATAACTAGCAAGAGAACCCAAATAGTACTTGCTGTGACCAGGGGCATTTGGCCACTCAATTGCTCATCTCCAAAGTCAAGGACAAAAAGGTGACAAACAGAAAATTTCCTCTTATAGAATAGGCAGTGCTAATGAATGTCACTTTGCCTGAAAAAAAAAAAATCTGGGAAAATAAAACTTTGTTAGCTACTCTAAGACTTTCATTTTTTTTTTTTTTACCAAATTTGCTTTATTTGAGGAATGATGAAATATATGACGCCTTCACAATCAGTTGCTCCATTTCTAATGTCGTGAAGGAAGGCCTTGCTAAGCTATTTTCATAGCACTTCTCCAAGTTTCGGAAAGAATTCTTAGATCTGAACAAGTTTATTTCCTAAATCTGAAAAGGCTATCATGGTAGAGCAGAAGCTTAGCACGAATGAGTAACGGGGTTCACAGATCAATAAAAAGAACCACCACCACCATACCACCAAACCATGACACCTACTATGTGAATATAGTGAGTAAAGAGTTTTGTTTTGTATTCAAAGAACCCCTGCACTGCTCCCTCAACCGAAACTGCCAACTGGTCTCTAGAAACTGCTAAAGCTTTGTACACAAACACACATACACAGCTACAAATAACAAGCTTGTTACTAGCATTATACACAATAGGCAGACAGCAAACCTTGTAATCATTATCATATAACCATTTGCCAAATAACTGTCAAGACTTTACTTATACCTATATTACCAAGATGGAGAGAAGGGTTTATAAAACAACTTGTTTATGAGAACCACGAAGACTAAAATCAGCTGAGCAACAGAATCATCTAAGAACCAGCAAAACCAAACCAAACAGAGGTTTCGCTTGGGGGAAGAATAAAACATAATTTTTAGTATGTTGGTAAAATGATGCAAATTTGGCAGACTATGAAGAAATCTTTGAAAACTCTTCAAACTCTAAATGGAAAGATTTTCCCCCAAACAGCCCATTCACAGTACTTACAGCACTGAAGTTAGCAAAATTGCTTGGGTCAGCCTCTTTATTGGTAGTGGCAGTAGAAGCAAATGGATCACAAAACATATCAGGATCTTTTTCTTTGGGACTATCATTGCCTGGGAAAGGCTGAAATGGATCATTCAGTTTAAAGGGATCAGAAGAATCCAATTTGTTGATGGGTCTTTTCCCTGGATCAAAATCATGACAGTTAACCAGCAGATAGAGCAAACACCAGCACACAAGCACACGCTCACAGCACTCAAAGCGCTGCAGGGCAGGGTAAGAGCCAAGGCACACTCTCAGTACTGCCTTGACCGGCCACAATTGTCCTCAGAGCAGCCATGCTTCTCTCTCAAACAGATTTCAGGTGCAGGTAGGTGGACAAAACCCAAATCAACAACAAGAAAAGAGGAAATGGGCTAAGAATTGTGACTTCTGTCTAAAGATTAAGTCTGTCTTCATTTAAATAAGCATGTTCCTAAGGAAGATAATAAACAAGAAAAATGGTAAAGAATAAGCATTGAGCTCTTATAAGAGCTTAAGCCTGAAACTAGCAGCATTAGTGATAAGTGACTTTGAAATTTTGCAAGTTTCTTCTGTCTCTTCTCTGAATATTTACACATACATAATGCCTACTAGTATAAATAAGATCAACTTGACAAAACCTCATTTATTTTTTCCATCTATAAAACTTCAAGCTGAGAACGATCAACACTTAGAGGGCTACAGCCTCTATCTGTAGCTGCTGAAAACTAATCTTTGACCAAATAGCAGCATGCTGCCCTGATAAGTCATCACCTATTGTTTCAATACCATTATAAAGCAAGTTATTTTATTTATTTATTCCTCTTAGTCATTCATTCATTTATTTACTTGGTTTTTTGAGAGAGGGTCTCTCTGTGTAGCTCTGGCTGTCCTGGAACTCGCTCTGTAGACCAGGCTTGGCCTAGAACTCAGAAATCCACCTGCCTCTGCCTCCTGAGGGACAGGACTAAAGATGTGTGCTACCATGTCCAGCTAAGTTCTTACATTTTCAAGTTTTACATAAAGTGTTACTACTTCTTGAAGAAAAGAGGCCAAGTTTAAGATTCTTTGCATGTGTTTTTCCTACAGTGCAGTATGCTGATAGTCATAATTGACTCTTTTCATAAGTGTAGTTTATAAAGGACGCTTTTACCTCATACTTTTATCTCCTCTCTTCATTCTGAAGTCTTGGGACTTCAGAAAGTCCTGTGAAGGTATGCAAAATCTAAGCTTCAGCTACCATACAACTAAGGCAGGGAGGTTTTAGACATGGGAAATTACACTTCAGGTCACAGAGTAATGGCTGCAGTTGCAGCTTACAAAGCCCTAGGTTTGATCTTTAGCACCACTAAAAAGCCCAAACAAACAAAACCCCAAACAAAGGAGGAACAAAACCAAGCCTAGAGTTCATTCTAGCATTTGGGAGGTAGAGGTGGGAAGGAAGAGGAATTCAGTTTGAGGCCAGGCAGACCTACATGGGCACTGTCCAAAATCCAACACACAAACAGAAAAGGGTGGGGAATGTAACGCAGAGGGAGAGTGCTTTCCTCGCACAGGTGAGACCTGAGATCCACAGAACCGGGAGTGAGGCTGCGGTTCACAAACTGAGGCTAGGGCTGACCAAAATATGAATTTAAGGCCCCTGTCAGCGATCTCTTCAACAAGCCATTCTTTCCCTTTGCCCTTTCTACAATGACGGTCCCTGGAATGTCTTCAGCTTTACTATTATCGTGTCTGTTGTATATGATGTGTGTGTGAACACGTGTGCCACAGCGCATGAGTTGTCAGAGCACCTTGACGGAATCGGCTCTGCCTCCAAACCTTTACACGGATTCTGGGAGCTGACTGCAGGTCAGCTAACGCAGCAAGTGCGTGCACCTTATTACGCCGTCTCACTAGGCTCGTTTTCACTGGTATTAATTACGATACTAAGGTAGGGCATCTGGGTTTTAAAATTACACTCAGTGGGTGTAAAAATGTAAGTGAACAAAATATTACTTTAAAAAATATATAGACTCTGACCAACTTTGTTCTAACAATATATGATATAGGTGACTTTCCTTAAAAGATAAAATCACTTAACTCATTTACCTACATTTTGAACAGATATTTATACACTAGCAACTATACATGCTGTTAGCAAAAACCATGGGAAGGTCATAATGAAAAGGCAGGAATGATTATCTAACAACTGAAATGCCACCGGGAATGATGTAGGGATAAAAGCTCAGTGTGCCCAACAGCACTGTGTCTTCTCGTGGAGCAGCCTGGCAGCATGACCCGTGCTCAGCCGGGCTGCCTTCATAGCTACTTTATTGTGCTGTAACTGCAAACCTTTCCTATGTAAATACAACCCAGACCAAAGACAAAAGAAAACAAACAGTTTGTTCTTAGACTACAGAGAATTTTAAAATCAGATTTTTAAGGCCAGGTATAATGGTATATACCTTTAAAAACCTAGCACCCAGGAGGCAGAGGCTTCAAGAGTTTTGAGTTCAAGGCCAGCCTGGTATACAAAGCAAGTTCCAAGCCAAGCAAGGCTACTGTCTCAAACAAAACAAAATAAAAATCCATTACAAACTAAAGAAATTTTAAAGGGCAAGCAGTTCTTTTACCCTTCCTTGTCTTTTTCTAAATAAAAAAGAATTTAGGGAGACTTCAAGTTAGTTTTCTCTCAAGAAAATTAAGAAGACAGCAGTAGGCTTGTGCTAAGTGCCTGGCTCTTGCTTACAGCCCTTTATTTGACGTATAACGCTGGTAGAAGGGCCCACAGGACACTTTCTGGAGGAAAGGCCCCACTGCGTACCTGGGGGTGGCGGGCAGGGTCTTGTTGGAGTTCCAGTCTTGGGCGGCAGTGCCGGAGGAACGTCCTCACTCTTGGTGGGCGTCTCCTCCAGCACAGTGTGAGCAATGACCGCACTGCCGGCAGAACTTGATGTGGCAGGATTAAAAGGATCTTCATTGTTGACCTTTGTTTAAAAAACGTTTATATAGTATGATACACATGGGATCAGAAAGTATTCAGAAGAATGACTTAAGTATCATGCAGTTTTACTTCAATTCCTAGAGAAGTGACACTTTACTCTTCATATTCAAGGACAAATAGTATTAAAACCTGATCTGTAGGTATTCTTACATAACGACTTATCAAGAGCAACAAACATAGCAAACAGGCTAACTCTAGACTGAAGACTATTGAGTAAGCAGTAGGCAATACAAAACCTCCTCAGTTGTTGTTTGTTTTGTTTTGTTTTGAGACAGGGTCTGTGTAGCCCTGGCTGTCCTGGCTCACGCTGTACGCCGTGCCGACCTCCAACTTCTAGAGCTCCACCTGCCTCTGCCTCCAGAGTGCTGGGATTACAGGCCACCGTTCTCGGCTGAGGAGTGTGTGTGTGATTTTTTTCTAAGATGGTGTAGCACTGGCTGTCCTTGAACTCACAGACATCTACCTTCCTCTGACTCTCAAGTGCAGGCACCCGATAGAATGTTAAGTCTTAATGTATGTCTAAAAACTCTGACTTTCAAATATATGGGGGTAAAAAAATCAAAGTATGATATATTTAGGCCTTTCTTCCTCCCTACCTCCCTCCTTCCTTCCTTGTCAGGGTTTCTCTGTGTAGCCCCAGCTGTCCTGGAACTCACTCTGTAGACCAGGCTGGCTTTGAACTCACAAAGATCCACATGCCTCTGCCTGAGTGCTGGAACTAAAGGTATGCACCTCCCCCCGCCCTCCCCCAGCTAGGCCAGGGGTGTTTGAACTGCTGCACTATTAACTTTTGGGGACTGAGTAACTACGTTTGGGGGTGGGGGGACTCCTCAGTGTACTGGGGGTGTACTCACTAGGTGCAAGCAAGTTCTGACAACCACAAATGTCTCTCCACACTGTCAAATAGTCCTTGGAGGCAGACAATTTGGCTTATCTTCAAATGCATTCATATTTTTTTTTTTTTAGCCTAAATCAGTGCTACAGCTATGCTGGACAATAAGCCGCCGACACTCAGGTCAGAGTTTATGCACGTTTATCTTGGTGCAGGCACTAATAACTTCAAAGAGAAAAATCAAGTAGACAGTATACAATGAATGGAATAAGAAGTATTATGCCTACTGACCCAGATAGTACACAGGGAGAGATGTAATTCAACTAGAAAAGAAACATTTAAATAGACAACTCTAACTGTAACACTGAGCAGACCTTTCAGAAGCAAATGTAACCACCCGTGAGTGCAATCAAATCCCACATTTGTGAGAGAATGCTAACTGTAAGGAGTGCTGCTTATCTGATGAACATCCTGTGCTGTGAAGATTACCTTTGACAATGCGCTGAAGTCAGCAAATCCATCACCAAACGATTCATTTCCAAAAACAGAAGCAAAAGGGTCTGTGGCTAAAAGGAGTAAAGGAAATCAGTAAGACACTATATTTCATGTCTTTTTGTGTTGTTGTTATTGCTGTTCAATAACATTCAGAAAAATAATTCCTAAATTTGCAACTGGTGTATATACAGAATGGGTAAACACTGAACATACCAAATGGTGTATTCCTTAGTATAAATCAGCTGGTAATGACTCAAGATCACAACCCAGGTGCTACCTGGAGGAAAGGTGTGAAGTTCTGGACACACATGAAACAAGACAGCTCCTACAAACTACACTGTGTTGTTTGTTCCTTTCAAGAGATGTACAGCCCGGGATGGCATATGACTTTTATGTCTGTCAGCCTCTTAAATGCCGGGATCAGAGTCATTTGACAGTGTGCTTGGCCAAATTATTTCTAGTATTAGTATCAAGAGGTTTAAAGGACCATTAGTCACACATTTCACATGTCATTCAAATCTTATTTCAAATGCCACCTCTTCCACAAAACTTAGACAAACCCAGGCATCACTAATTTCCAGAGCAAGAACTGAATTCCTCATTCTCTATAGCAATAACTGTAGTCCACTCTATTCCATAGTTATCCAACACTCATAAGTAGTTTGCAGCACAAGCAGTTTGACTTTTTCATATGTTCCCCTACCTCTCCAGTCCAAGCTGTCACAGGCACAGTTCTAAGTGTGTTTATACGGAGGGAGGGAAGGTACACCTGCTAAAGTTCCAGGACAGATTTGCACCTAGGACATGTGGTTAAAAATTAAAAAGAAATGGCCGGGCATGGTGGTGCACACCTCCCAGCACCTGGGAGGTAGAGACAGGCAGATCTCTGTGAGTTCGAGGCCAGCCTGGTCTACAGAGCAAGTTCCAGGACAACCAGGGCTACACAGAAAAAAGCCTGTCTCAAATGTGAGAGACAGAGACAGAGAGAGACAGTGACAGAGACAGAGAGTTTATTAAGAAAGGGAAGCACCCTGTGAAAGGGAGTGGGCTAGATAATGGCATATGCTGAGAACACGAGGTACCTTAGTTCTTTTTTTTAAAAAGATGCTTTTTAAAAAATATATGTGCGTGTGTTGCATGCACGTATGTATATGTACATCTGTGCCTATGGAAGCAGCAGACGGCAGCAGATTCCTTGGAGCTGCAGTTACAGATGTTGTGAACTGCCAAATGGGTGCTGGAAACTGAACCTGGACCTCTGAAGAGCAGCCAGTGCTCTGATAGCTGAGCCATCTGTCCAGGTCCATGGCATCTTATTTTTATCTGCTTTGCTATCAAGGCAGTGAGAATGAAGTGGGTAAAGAGAGGAAGACACCGAGAGAACAGCAGTGACAGGTTTGTCACGGCTCTGCTTATGAAGAGGACACTGAAACTCCAATCACAGGAAACTGCAAGTTTAACTACAGAAGATGCTTCTCACTAATACAGCATCTGCTGAGCCCCCTGACGGGGTCTCTGTTCGCCAGAGGTTGGTGTCAGGCACGCCTTTCCTCTTCCTGCCTGCTACTCCTGACGTGTGGCAGCTAAGGCACAGCAACACTCACTGTTGATCAAGACAAGGGTAGCAAAAGAAGTGGTTTCGAGCTCCATTTCCTGAAGGAACTGATTATACTGTGTCATGACTTTTTCCTCTGTCTTTTTCCTCACTGACTTTACAAAAAGTTACAACACTTGTAGGAACACAGCTGAGTTAGGCCAGGACTGAAATGTTGTAAAAAATAATTTGAAAAATAACAATTGAAAAAATATTTCTATATGAAGAATATGTAATTGCTAGAGAGTTTTTCTACAAGATACTGAGGAAATATACCTTAGATGAATTCTTTTCCCCCTCAAATTAGAGAACTAGAATTAGGACAAGACTTTCTCGGCTGCTGGTTGGATGAAGCACAGGCTTGTTCAGAACCTAAGGATTCTGTTCTGATCATGCTGGAGGCCAGTCAGCAGGCAGCACATGGAGGCTAAGAGTGGCAGGTCAGGCTTTCAATGCAGACATGAACTCGCCAGGACCCTTTCTTCCCCCAAAATAAAGGCAATATGTTGGGGAAAATGTACAAAAGCATAACAAAGTCATCTATAATCTTATTATCTGAAATCACTTGTGAATCCTTTAGCAAATAACTTCAACAGCCTTTTTTTCCTGTTACACTATTATGACGTTTTGTAAAGGTAGAAACAAAAAAGCTATATTGCAGGTATATAACTTTGTATCCCTCCCCCAGCTTAACCACAGTTCTTATCAGTACCTGACCCACATCTGCCTCCACCCTTCAGTATAAGCTCTACAATGTGGGAAATTAGTTCTATTCTCTACTTTCTCCCCAAGGATGAGCACACGGTCTGGTGAGTAGGAGGTGCTGGAGTCTGTGACAGCATTGTGAAAATAGGGAGCAGAAGTCATGTTTTCATTAAGGATCCCCCAAATAGATATAATAGTCGTCAGCATAGCCAGCTGAGCAACAAGGGAGAAAGGGACAAATAAGAGTCTCCCGAAAGACCGTGCTGGGGTGTTGGCTTGGTGGTTAGGATAGAGGACATCCAGTTCCCAGAACCCACAGCGGACACCTCACAACTGCCTCACAACTGTAACTCCAGTTCCAGGGGACCCAATTCTATCATATGCATATGCCCATACACACACATAATTAAAAACAATTTTTTAAAGTTCCCCCACAGAGTAGCTGCTTACTGAAGAAGCCCAAGATGGAGAAACCCCTTATCTCTACACCCTATAAATGTAAGACCTAAGCTCAGCCTCCCAGTCCTCAGCAGACACCCCTCAATGAGATGCATCTGCAAAGAAACGTCTGTACCTTAAAGACATCACTGAGCTTCAGCACCCGGGGAGGTACTGTATTTCCTCAGTTAACACACACACACACACACACACACACACACACACACACACACACACA